CCCTTCAAGGCCCTATTCCTAAATATAATCTCATTGGGAGTGAGGGTTACCATCTATGGATTTGTAGGATAAAATCACAATTTGGTCCTTAACACTGAGGTCAGGACATCAGAGCTCTCAATGGAGTTTGGGAGTAAAGGGTAGTGTGACGTGATGCATCAGTTCCTAAAAAGTCTTGTAGACCTTTGTAAGAATGTTTTTCTTTTTTAAACAAGACAGGAAGAGTTTTTAGCAGTAAGTATGTGATTGTACCCAAGCTGTTATTTTGAGAATATATTGAAATAAAGATACTAGTCAGAAGACAATTGCAGTAATCCAAGCATTAAATGACAGAGGTGGAAAAAGTAGTCAGATTCTAGATTTATTTTAAAAGTAGTATGGATGGAATTTGATGATAGATCAGTGTGTTAGTTTTTTGACCTGATAGAGTAACTCACATAAACAACTTAAAGGGGGGGAAGAACTATTTTGGCACATGGTTTCAGAGATTTCATTTCACCCTGGCAGAGAGGGTGTGGCAGAGCAACTCACCTCATGGCAACCAGGAAGCAGTGAGAGAGTAAGGTCCAGGTATAACCTTCATAATTCACGCCACCAGTGATCTACTCCCTCCAGTTAGGCCCCACCTCCTAAAGTATTCACCACTCCCAAAATAGTGGCACCAACTGAGAAGCAAGCATTAAAAACAGGAGCCTGTCAAGACATTTCATATTCAAAACATAACAATTTGGATATACAGTATGTGAAGAACAAAAGAATAGTTGCAAGATTTTTGTCTGAGTAAGAAGACTATGGGAAAATGCTGCTTTAGGGAGACAGTACAGTTTGGCTTTGTAGACATCTTAGTAGCATCATGTTGTTTTGTATTTTTTATTTTCCACAATATACAGCACCAATCTTTTCAGTTGTAGTCACCATCCCCCATTAGTTACATATAGATATACTGCATTGTTTTTAAGAAGCACCTTTAAGCACATATTTTATTTTATTTGAAAAACACATTTGTGCACATTCATGCACCATTGTATGTCCTTTACAAATATTAACTCACTTAACCCTCGTATGAACTCATGTTATTACTCACATAAGGAAAATGAAGCCCAGAGAGATTAATTCATTGAAGGTCATGTAACAAGGAAGTAGGAAAGCTACTACATCATATTCTACCATATGACTTTCATAATTTACTTCAACTTCCTGATGACAAATTTGGCAGTAGTTCCAATTTGGAGGTTATTATATATTGTATAGGATATCCATTTTCATGTCTTTGGGTGTTAACACAAGCATCTATGGGATAAGAATGTATTTATTGAATCAAAGGATATACCTATTGCTTATTTAGTAGAAGTCACCAACGTGACCTTCGAAAGAGTAGTTTTGGTTTATCTTTCCATACCTATATCTTTTTTCCTCTTTTTTTGTTTTCTTCTTTTTTTTAAAGCAGTCTTACTATGTAACCCAGGCTAGTCTTGAACTCATGATCCTTCTGCCTCAGCCTCCTGAGTTTTGGTATTACAGGTGTGGGCCACCATACCTAGCTTTTCTTTCTTTTTATAATTCTCCAACTTAGTAACATTTTTTGCTACCTCCCTCTAATTTCTAAAGTCAGAATAGCACAAATTGTTTGTAATGGCTTCACATAGTCTATTTAAATTCTGGGCTACATGTTGAATTTATAGCTGTTGTTGGAAAGCCTAGTGAGTTGACTATTCAAGTCAGGGAAAGCACCTATGTAGATGGATACACATCATGTTTAGTCTGAGGTATGATGGGTTGTATATTTATCAGGTGACAAATTCCTCCTCAAAGGTAACCAGTGTCTTGACCTCTAACATTTTAGTTTTATATGTCTTTGATTTTAGTATTCTTTTTATTTGTTTCATTTTTTTCAAGATCATGCTTATGATATCTGTCCATGAGGTGTCCAGCAGTAATTTATCTATTCTTGTTATATAGTCTCCAATACATGAATATTTGTCCACTCTGCGGTTGTTGGACAGTTGGATTGTTTCCAGGTTTGGATGCTTCTAGATAGTGTTCTTTGAACCTCCCTTTTTTGCTAGGACTGGCATTTGAACTCAGGGCTTCATGCTTGGAAAACTGGCACTCTACCTTTTGAGCCACACCGCCAGTCCATTTTGGAGATGGGGATTTTACAAACTATATTTTGCCTGGACTAGCCTCGAACTGTGATCCTCTCAATCTCAACCTTCCAAGAAGCTAGGATTATAGGCGTGAACCAGTGGTGCCCTGCTTGAACACTGTTTTAAATGCCCCTGTGTGTGTGTAAGCTTTTCTTCACTGTGACAGAAATACCCAAGAAAAACATCTTAAAGGAGAAAAGGTTTATTTTGGCTCACTGTTTCAGTTCATGTCTGGCTAACTCTATTGCCTTGACTGGAGGGAGGGAGAGAAAGGGAGCAAATTACTTCCTAAAAGCCCCATTTCTGATCATTGCTACACTGGGGACACCTTCCAATACTTGAGTCTTTAGGGCATACTTCATATCTACACTGTATCAGGAAGGATACATATATGTACCTCCTAGCAGAGAAATAATTTTGCCATACAGTTGGCAAACATTCAACTTTATTAAGTATTAGCAAAAAGGTTTTAAAAATTTATAGTGATGTTACATTTTGGTTTTAATATGTGTATTATTTTATTTTTCATTACTATAACAAAGTAACCTGAAGCAGAGTAATTTTAAAAAGAAAAGGTTTATTTAGCTCACAGTTTTGGAGGTTAAACAAAGATTGGGGGAGTAGAATTGTTTGGGCTCTTAGGGAGACCAAATGGCAGATGGCATCATAATGTTGGGAGTGTGCAGTGGGAGGAAAAGATCACATCTAAAACAAGAAACCAGAGAGCCATTCAGGTGTCAGGCTGTCTCTTACAACAGCTTGCTCTTGTGAGCTTTCAGAGGTTGCATATGAGATACCTTAATCTTTTCCAAGGGCAACTACCCCAATCACCCAAATAGTTCTCACTAAAGGTTCCATACTACCTCCCAACACCACCATCATGAGAACCTATGCTGCAGCACATAAACATTTTAGGGACAAACCACATCCAAAACATAGCAGTGTTCCTCTTCCCCAATGGTAGTAAAATTGAGTATGTGTTTGTGTGTGGCAGTTTGATGCTTTTCTGTCAAAGTATCTGAGACTGGGCTATTTCCATAAAAACTGAGGAGCTTTTTATTTGAAACTTATCTCTCCCCTGTGAAACCTTAAAAAGCAGACTGCCATGTACAAAACAGATGTGTATTTTCTTGAGAAACAGTATGGCATGGTGATTAATAGCATAGACTCTAGATCCAGACTTTTGTTAGGAGTCACCTTTGAGACTTTGGGTAGGTTAACCCTCTTTACCTTAGTTGCCTCTTATCTGAAATGAATGTAAGTTTATGAAAGCTGGTTTGTATGCAGATCTTAATAATAAGCAGTAGATTTTAGGTATTAGTTGTGATGATGATACAAATTTATGATCTCATGTCAAGTTAATTGACAAGAATAATGAGGCTCTTCTGTTGAGCACAAATTTAAAACTGAACTTCATGGGTGATACTTGGATTTTGTTGTAGCCTCTGCATTTAATTTTTTGTTTTCATTGCACATTATCAAGAAAATACTGATTAATAAGGATGAGTAATTAAAAATAGATGTGGTTTGTCCCAGTAGCCTCAGGATTCCCTTAAGCTTATAAATATGTTTAATTGATAAGAAGTAGTAGAAAGTGTTAATTTTGAAATTGTTACTAAACATCCATAATTTGTTTGGGTTTCTTGTTTGTTTGTTTTTTCAGTAAGGAGCACCAGAAATTGTCATGGATTTGGCATCTGTTACATTGTCATAACACATGTGTATTACAAGTTGGCCTGTTACTGCTTTCAGGCACTACATAACATGAACAGCAAATGTGTTCAGTCCTTGACTGTCTGAGGGGCAAGAGGGTAGGGGAGGGGGGCAGAAGGGAGATAAAAATTAAACGGAAAAAAAAATAGCAAAAAAGAAAAAAAAATCCTTGCCTGGTGTGATAAGGTGTGCGCCACAGATACTGTGATATGAGTTTAGTCACTGGTGCCAATTTAATGAGCCAACAACATATATACAGGCTTGAATTAGAAACAATTCAAAACAAAAAGAGCTGAAGTTTTCTTAAATAATGGTATACTTCCAAGATACTCAAACAAACGATGGCAAGCAAAGGTGCAAGAACCAAGTTACCCAGCAACACAAGTTACATTTTATTTGGTGTCTGGTATGTGAACATGAGGGAGGCATATAAACATTCACACATGTGCTACTAGAGTATTAGTTCACAGTAGTCGCTTCTACAGCTCTCAGCTGCAGTCACAGGCTGTAGATTACAAACAGCCTTGGCTTGTTTGCAGCTTAGGCGACCCTTAACACCAAGAGAAACATTTCCAGTTAATGGAAGGCTTCCAAACAGACCTAAATGAGTATCTTTGACTCCTCCACATCAGTGCACTCACAAAATCCATCAGCAGGGGGAGCTAAATAAAAGAGAATGAGTTCCTGAAATTAAAACATGGAGAAGCAGAGAAAGTATTTAAAAGGAGGCTTTCACAAATCTCTAGTACTGAGAAGGAGCTTGAATAGTATTAGAAGATGGTAGAAATCAGTGATTTGGGTTCTGATACAAGGTTAAAGCTTATATAAAGTGATCTGTGTTTTTGAAGGAGGTAATTCTATATCATGTTAAAAACCTGTTCAGAAGGATGACCCGATACACGTACACATATTATAGAAACAATCTGATGTTTTCTTCTCGCCCTACTTTGCTTTTCCCCCTCTGAAAGTGATATTTATTACACATAATAAAATGAGGTCACTGCTTTGTGCGGAATTTCATATGGAGCACAGAGTCTTAAAGTTTCTAAGAATCATGGATTACCCCAAGTTTTAAAGACAGCTTTTTCAAGTCAATTTCCAATATTTTGTTTTGACTAAGTGTATGTATCTTCATTTCAGTTAGCAGACTTGAAGAAAGAGAAGCAGAACTGAAGAAGGAATATAATGCATTACATCAAAGACACACTGAGGTAGGTTTCTGGGTTCTTACTGTGCCAATATTGGGACAAAGAAATGGATCTTAGAAAGTTGGTCTTAATTTTGCTTTGAACATCAGAAGAATTCTCAGGGATTAGTTCCAGAAAACCTAATTAATTGTCATGTGGCATTTAATTACCAAAGTTACCAAATGTCGACTCAAAATTCTTGTTTTTTAAATCTAGAATTAACTTTTCATGCAGTGAATTAGTATGCCACAGGATAATTAGTTATTTAAGGCACTTCTAATACTTATTTTCTTGACGGGCTAAGCAAAAGTTAGCATGCGCATAGTAAAAGGTTTACATGATGCTCAGAGCATTGATTTGCTCCCAGTTTGAGAATGATTCATTGATAAATTATTTGTAAGAATCTCTACATTTATAATCCACTATAAAGGATTTGTTTACATGAAATCCATAACAATATAAGCACATTAAAATGTGTTAACTCATAATGATTCTAAGACAGGTTTTCCACATGAAGTTTTAGTATTTCAAATTAATAGTTCTAGCACACAGTCTTCCCAAAACAAATTAGAAATGTGCTTGAAGTTTTCTTTTTTTTTTTAAACCTTCTTTCTATGATTTTCTGCCAACCTTTCATACATTGCTACGTTTTTGTTTTTTTTTTTTAATTCAGGGCCTCACGCTTTCTAGGTGGGTACTCTAGCACTTGAGCCACTCCGCCAGCCCCATTTTGTGTTGGGTGTTTTGGAGATAGGGTCTCTTGAAGTGTTTGCCCTGGCTGGCTTCAAATCACAATCCTCCTCTCTACCTCCTGAATGGCTAGGATTACAGGCATGAACCACCAGCGCCTGGCCATATGTTACATTTGTTTCTATCTTGTTAATGTGAAAACTGGTTTTGTGTATCACGATCAGTCTGCGTTTCAATCCATAGTACACCCCCAGCCACTGGCATTTTAATAATATATTTGGTAGATATTAAGGTTGTTTTTTAAAAAAAAATTGGGAAGGCTGGAGTCCTGACTCAAGTGTTAGAGTGCCTACCTAACAAGCCTGAAGCCCTTAGTTCAAACCCCAGTACTGCTAAAAAAAAAAAAAATTGACTAAAAGCCCATTGTTATCCTTTTTGCACCATTTATTTCAATACCTGAACAATGTCCTGAACATAGTATTTAGAATTACAAATATATTTGGAGGAGTATATTTAAATGTCATAAATAGTTGATAGTAACAAATAATGCTTTCATTTTTAATAGAGTTCTAACTTCTGTAATAATTGGAGGTCATTAAATTATGATGTATTAAATTGAAGTATATATAAAATATATGTACTCTTAAAAGATCAACTGTAAAGTGAAATTTCATATTTTACCAAAATATGCATTTAACAAAAATGAAGATATATTTTTTTTTACAGAAAAAAACTGATAACAACTTCATATGAAAATATAGTCATTTTTCTGTCTTCAGGGAAGGGCAGTCTTAAAAGAAAAAAGATCTCAGGAAAACTTAATTACAAAGTCACAGAGCTGGGCCTGTCCATTAACCAAGACAGTGTTCCCATCCTGCCTGGTAGCTCTTTTCATAGGATCTCCACCTTCAGTCAGAATTTGCTTTTATCTGCCCTGATGGGCTCATTTTGTTTCACCTCAGAGTAAGGGCTTTTTGTATTTTTTTTTTTTAAACACAAATAAGGCTGCATTGAAATGCAGGATTTTCTACTGTGGCCTACAATTTTGTGTGTTCATAGATCTGTTCTAAAGATGCCATTCAATTAGCAATTAAAAATAGTTCTATAACCCTGAAGAACTAGGCACCCTTTGAAGTAAACTCTAGACTGACGCTGATGGCTCACACCTTGATCCTAGCTACTCAGGAGGCAGAGATCAGGAGGATTGCGGCTCAAAGCCAGCTTGGGCAAATAGTTCGAAAGACCCTAGCTCAAAAAAATTCATCACAAAAAAGGGCTGGTTGAGTAGCTCAAGTTGTAGGCCCTGAGTTCAAACCCCAGTACCACAATCAATCAAACCATCAATAAAATAAAATATAAATGTAAATTCTGGAAACCTTAAGGGGAAGGGCATCTGAAGGGTTTAACTTTGTTTCATTGTTACTTCCAAAACATCACTGATGCCAGTGGTTTACACCCACAATCCTAGCTGCTCCTTAGACTGAGATCAGGAGGATCACAGTTCAAAGCCAGCCCTTGCAAATAGGTTGTGAGACCCTATCTCAAAAATATCCAACACAAAAAAGTGCTGACAGAGCGGCTCAAGTGGTAGAGCGCTTGCCTAACAAGCATGAGGCCCTGAATTTAAACCTCAATACTACAAAAAAAAAAAAAAGTAGCATCTTTCTAGGGCACAAAATTATTGTTTAAAGTACTCTTATCAAACACATTGTTTGCTGCTTAAGGGAAACTTACTATGGCTTCTTTTGTAATGTGAATGACTTTTCTAATGAAATCAAAATTTTGTGCACATTATCATGCCTAATGAGAGCAGCAAAGAATAAAGGTTATAAATTGTGAAGCAATTGGGCCACATATGTAGTCCTCTTATGCTAATCACCGTAATTGTGAGCCCTGTGAAATGCTGGACGGCTGTCACTTCAGGATGCATTTATAATTTTTTCTTTCTCTATTTTTGGCGGTACTGGGGTTTGAACTCAGGATCTCATGCATACTAGGTGGGTGCTTTATCACTCTTCTAACCCCTGGCAACATTTATAAATGCTCATCCTTCAATGAAGTTTTTAGAAGGAGACTCTGAAGTGATATGCCCTAAATCCCATGCTAATTAGTGATTGATTCTGAAGCCACTTCTATCAAATTCCATTCCTTGAACTTTTACTGACACTTCACTTTTCGTAAGCTAAACGTACTAGGTCTTTTTCTGTACCTCTTTGCTTTATGACATCTTAACAACTTTAAGATCAGTGGCTTTGTGGATATATGCATGTGATTTTTGGGCTGCATATATGGCATACTGATTTTTAGACTGCCTTCCAGATTCAAATAATTAAAAATACCCATGCCACTCATCTCCAAAATTTTACCATTGCCTTGCTTTTGGTTTTAACCATTGCTGACTGAGTCAACCTCTGCTGTGAAGAAATTTCAGGGACAGGAAGTTAGGGCCTTTCCCAAACCAAGATTTTCCAAACAGTATGCCTGGGATCTTTCTGATGATTCCAGCTGCTAGTTGTGGAATTGATTCCTGAATATATGTAAATTAATTGGCATAACTGAAAAAATTGAGAATTGTGGTTCTAAAACAAAGGATGGATAAGATCAGACCCAACAGTAGATTATTTAAAGCATGCTGTATGTTACTCTCTCATATCTTTTCTCTGTCTGGCCTCACTGGTCCTTTCCACTTTTTTTTTCCCCCTAAGAAAACCAGAGCTATACTGTGAAGCCTTGTTTTTAAATTTTTATATGTAGTTTTCTACTTTTGTGCACTTATGGAATATAGTACATATTATTTTATTTTAGTTGTGAGGAAATGCTTTAGAGTGTGGGGTTCTCTGTGGGTGTGAGGAAGAAAACACAAAGAGCTCATTGCCTGCCTAGAGAATTAACTGAAAGGGCAGATACAGCTTGAGTCCCTGTGTGCTTACTGCTCAGATGACTTGAGTCAGACAGATCACCGTTCTAGCCAGCACTTAATTACTAACAAGTAATTTTAACCTGTAGCTGGGATTTATCTGTAAAATTATGAGGATTAAATGAAAAGTGTCTGTATCAATAAATGATAACTGCCATTTTGTTATTATTCTCTCCTGTTAAGGGATAGTTTAGTTTAGTCTATAATTTCATTATTTGAACCATCTTGGAATGTCAGGGTATCATATCTACATTTTATCAGTCATTTGAAGGTTTAGAATTCAGTATTTTCTTGCCTTTTTTGTTGTTGTTGTTGTTAATACTGGGGTTTGAACTCAGGGCTTCACACTTGCAAAGCAGGTGTTCTACCACTTGAGCCACACTTCCAGTCCATTTTGCTCTAGTTATTTTGGAGATGCACTCTTGAGAACTTTTTGTCTGGCTGACCTTTGAACCTTCATCCTCCTGATCTCAGCCTTCCAAGTAGCTAGGATTACAGGCATGAGCCACCAGTGCCTGGCAATATTTTAGCATTCTTTAGAATTAGAATTCTTTAAATTAGTCCAACTAAATCTACAGAAATAAACATGTTGGTATTAAATTTAAATTAATTAATGATTATCTTTACTCTGCTAATCCCTCTTATTGTGGAAAAGATCAACACATAAGAATTTTTTTCTCAGCATTAATTTATTTCTCATTTTTAACCAGTGGTCCCTCATCACTACCTACCAATATCTATATGTAAATTTGTCCCAGTTGTGCCAATATTATTTCATTTAATAGCATCACATATTATAAAAAGAATGTTCTTTTGCTGCTCTAAGCAAGATAGTGGCTACTTTTGTGGACACCAAAATCATAAATGTAATCATTTGCTTATTCCTTTGCTCTTAAAAGTTTTTGTTCCTTACTATTTTTTTACATGGAATAACTAATCTTATAAATAAGCAAATTATACCAAAATATTTCCCTTGCTTTAATACTATGTTCTATTTCCAGCCTTAAATTTTATGGGTTTTTTTCTTTTGTAAAATAGATGATCCATAATTACATGGAACATTTGGAAAGAACAAAACTTCATCAGCTCTCAGGGAGTGATCAACTAGAGTCTACAGCTCACAGTAGAATTAGGTAAGCTTTGTTATATATTTTACCTTGGGAAAAGTGAAATCTTTTTGTTTCTGTTTTTCTCTGTTCTTTAATCTGGGAACAATAGTTAGGCTGATTCAAAAAGCTCTCCCCTGTCATTGGAATGCTGTGGGAGAGAATTGCATAGAAAATAGAAACAACCCTCACCATTATAAAGGTAAATTATGAACCATACTATGTAAGCAACACAACGAGATATTTTGATTGTTTTTTGATACTGGATGGAGATTACAGTAGGTTTGAAATTTTCTAATTTGTGGAAATGCTGAAATTTTTCATTTATCCAATATAATTGGTCGTTTCTGTTACAGAGAGGCATGTTTGAAAGGATTAGCTAGCCATCTGTCTGTTGTAGGAGTGTGAATAAATTATGTAGATCTCTAGGCATTGTAGCCAATGAGCTAAGCCAGGGCCCTCAGTGGAGAGGAAAATAGTTAATAGGCTGGCTGTCGCTGTGGTTGCTGCATAAATGCTAGGGGAAGCAGCTCTATGGTTATGAGATGGGGAGTGCGGAATGACGACATCGCTTGGGAGCCGCTGCAGGATGGAGTGGAAAGCTGCTGCTGATGGCATTGTTTTTGTGGCAGCAGCTGAATGACAGATCCTCACTACAAAGATACCCCTTTGGCCCCTGTGTAGGCCTCCTGGTTTGGACGTTTCACCATGCCAGCACAGCGCCATGAGTCCTGGATGCATGCTGCTGTTTGTGTTTGGCTTTGTTGGCGGGGCGGTGGTCATTAATTCTGCTATTTTAGTATCGCTCTCTGTTTTACTGCTTGTGCACTTTTCTATCTCTACCGGTGTGCCAGCTCTGACGCAGAACCTACCACGGATTCTCAGGTACTCTAGTCTGTCTTGGAAGCTCCCACTTAGCTGGATTTTCTTAAATTTTCAGCACCATTGGTCTGTTTTGTAACCATTTCTGTAGCAGATTGAAACAATGGAAAATGGCCTGAGGCTAGGAGGTCTTATTTCTATTTATAGCAATATACAGGCCATCACTTAGGAATACTGTTTTGTGTTTAGAAACTACCAACCAGAGAAAAGGATTTTCATATTGTACTTATACGAAGTACAAGGTCATTGTGGTCTTATTTTAAACAGAATGTTCAAAGAATAAAGGGGAGAGCAAGAGTAGAGCACCAGATTCAAGTGCACACAACCTCTGAGTTTAGCTTCTTCTTAGGGGCAAATATCTTTTATGCTAGAGCTTGCAAACAATTAGACACAGGCTATGGGTTTATTTTGTTCTAATTATTATTGCCCAATGGAGGTTTTAGTATCAGTTTTACAATTTTAATAACAGCTCATGGGAACTTACAATTTAAATATTTTCCTTCTGAAACAAAATATATTTTAAAGTAAAAGTATTTAAACTTTTTTTAGGGCAGTAATGCTTTTCCCATTATTTACATATCAAAGTTGTGAAAGCTTTACAAAGCCTATTCACCATTGTTTGGTCAGATGTCTCCCTTTCTTTTCTTTGTAGTCCTGGGTGACAAATATCCATGCCTGCTTGTGGGGGTAGTCATTAATTTCAGTGGGTTTACTGCTGCTCACTACTTGCAGCATGTAAGAACCATCTTCTACATCTTAGCGGCTTAAGGTTTGGGTTTCTTCTGTTTTCTAGTTCATCAAGCTCGAAGTATTTGGTTTGGATTTCTGTGTCGTACATAAGTTTAAATGAGGGTTCTTAGTGCATGTTGTTTATTTATTATTTAAATGGTTACAGAAACATTTAATACTAATTGTGGATTTAGACAAATTAAGAAGAATTAAAGTAGTTAGCTCCTTCAATGTGTTCGTTTTTACTCATAGGCCAGTTCATGTTCAGTTTTAGTTTAAGACTCAAATCCAATTTTATCTGTGGTCTGAAGCTAGGTGGTTGATAATTTATTTTATTTTATTTAGAAATAGTGTGTTGATCAAGTGGTAGCGCGCCTGCTTTGCAAGTGCAAAGCCCTGAGTTCAAACCCTAGTCCCACCCAAAAAAAAAAACAAAAAAAAGAAAGAAAAAAAAGTGTGTGGATATGTAGCCCCAGGTTGCCTAGAATTTACTAAGTAGCCTAAACTCCCAATCCTCCTGTCTTAGCCTCCAGAATGCACCACCATGCCCAGCTCTTTCCTGGTTTAGAAAAATCAGGAAAAATCTTATTACTTATATATATGAATATATAAAAGATTTGTGTATGTGTCTGTGTATATTTAGACTTTGAGGAAACTAAAAACTCCTGGCCTTGAGATTATATACAGTACTAAACTAAGACTAATGTTAAGGAGCTGTCTTAAGTTTGGGTTCCTTTTAAGAAGGCAGAACCATGCAGTGGCTAAGAGAGGCATTGGAGTTGGACTGCTCTACCCTGTGTGAGTAGCACTTGGACCTTGGCAATTTACAGTGTCCCTCCGTGCTTGAGTTTCATTCTCTAAAGGTACTTACTTTATTGGGTGGTTTTAAAAATCAGATAAGATTTTTTGTTGGTGGTGGTTTACTGGAGTTTGAACTTGGGACTTTGTGCTTGCTAAGAAACCAAGCCCTCCCCCACCAAGCCCCTTTTGCTTTTCAGTTATTTTTTCAGATAGGGCTTCACTTTTGGTTGGGATTTTCCTGGGTCCTTGATCTTCCTATCTGTGCTTCCAGAGAAGCTGGGATTGCGAGCATACGCGACCATGCTAATTTTTTTGCCTAGGTTGTCAAACCGCCATCCTCCTATGTCTGCCTCCCAAGTAGCTGGAATGACAGAAGTGAGCCACCAAGCCAGGCAAGGTTACTATTTTGCATTTAATTACAGTTGCAAGTATACAGTAAATTAATTTTGCCGTCACTCATATGTATCCTATTTTTAGTAGAACTGGTTTTTAATCCTAGCTCTGCCAGTTATTATTACCTAAAGTCACTGAGCATCACTTTTCTTACTCTTAAAAACTGGGAAAGTAATCCCTATTTCCTGGTAAGGATTAAAAGAGATAATGTAAATAAATCATCTAGCTGAGTATCTGACTCATGGTGAGCGGCCAACAAATGTAAATGTTTTTACTACCCTTTATCTGTAAAGTTCATTTTACTAGTCACTTGCATTAGATGCAAGTATAGCCAAAAAGTTATTTCAAAACCATATTTGCAAAAGTTTTTATACACATAACATTTAAATAATGAACTAAAAAATGTACATAGGGAACTAAAGCAATTAAGCAAAGCAATGTAACAAAGATTCTGATAGTTGATAGCATTGTCTCTCTTAGGCCTTATTATAGACACTGATAACAGATGTTTCAATCTGGATATTTCAGTCTATTACTTGGTATTTTTCCACTGGTGTCCCATTCTTTGGTTATTTTGTTCTGTGAGCATTTAATACCTAGCGTAGCAAAAATGCAAACTAACTAGTACAACATGTTTGCCTGTCAGTGTTTCTTTTTGAAAGTAGGATTCTTTTTAACTTGCATAGTTATATATCTTTTTCCCTCCCCTCAACTCTTATGTAATTTTATCAGTACATTAAGAAGAGTATTTGGGGACTGGAGGTGTTGCTCAAGCGGTACAGCTCCTGCTTTGCAAGCACAAAGTCTTGAGTTCAAACCTCAGTCCCACCAAAAAAAAAAATAGTGTATGGTGGTATTATTTTTTTTCTTACAGAGTTGGAACAGAGTAACCCAGAGTATGACCAAATGTAGGCCCCAAAAGTGACCACGAGGAGAGGAGTGATCTGGCCAAGAGATTCTTTATTGCCGGGTGGGAGAGGGAGAAAGCCAAGAGAGAGAGAGACAGAGAGAGAGAGAGAGAAGGGCAGGTGCTTAAATACCCCTCAGTGAGACTCAGCATGATCTGATTGGTTTGGATCTTATGGTTCATGCTGATTGGAGGTTGGGGCAGAAGGGGAATTCAAGCTAGACTTGAAGCAGGACCATGACCCTGGGAAACAGAAGCTTAAGGGTGCAGTAAGAACTGAAACCCATCGGCACCATTATTGCCAACAGCTGTAGTCTTTGAAGAGCAGTCCCCTTCCTAGAAAGAACAGTTTCCATGAATGACTGATAAAAGCAAAACAGAGAGTAGGGAATTCTACTTATATTTTGGATTATAGATTTAGCAGGAAAGTAAAACTTGGATTCATAGAACACTCCTTACTCCAATAGTTTAAAACTTTTTCAGTATTTGTTATATATGAAATAAGTGTGTTGGCATTCCTATAAGAAGGTATTTCTAATGACTGGCTTGTATTTTGGTTTCTATTAGCAATGTGTGGATTCCTACACATGTGTTAGGAATGTGTGTTATCTTCCTAGTTGTCTTTGCATTTTGGATTAGAGAGCTTTTCATCATATTCAATCTGATTAAACTTCCAGTTACTTTTTACTTAAGGTTTGAAAGTATACTAGAATATATAAATAAAGGTCAACTAGTACCTCATAGATCTTTGATTTTTCTGTTCCTAAAATTGAGTTTAAACATTAAAAATTAACACTGTTCATTTTGTCAAGTATGAACTTGAAAAAAAAAATCTAGCTACCAGCAACTGTTATTATCATTTATTGAAAGAAAGGGCATTTTAAGTTCAAAGAAGCAGATATAGTTTAAAATAAGGGTTAATCATCAGTCATTCTCAGGAAAGAACTAGTTCTATGTTATTTGGAAATGTGTACATTATACAATATGTACTGTATCATCCACTATGGAAATAATAATTAATGTCTCTTTTTGTTACCGATTATGAAAACTTTATTGCTGGCCAGTATGGAGGAATAACCGACATAAACAGAATAGCTGACTAGTTACTTTAATTTTTGTAATTTTGTTGGTCTGGTACAAACGTAGATTTGGTTTTAAAATATATAGTCGTTATTGTGCTGCCTACTTGCATTTGTATTTTCCTCCCAAATCAAATAGAGAAAAGTATTACAAGTGTGAAGAACTGATGTTATAGAGAAAAATTCTATTTAAAAAAATTTATTCCTTGTGCATGCATTTTTGATAAAGTACAATATCTCAACCCCCTTTGCCTCACTTTATCTTTAAGAAGGCATTTTGACAATTTCACTAATCCTTTTTGATAAGCTTGGAAGGGCATACACACCATTTGAGTTAAGGGCAAGTTTCAAAAGTTTTTTGGTATAAAAATGAACTCGTAGAAAAGGTTAGATCAAAAAGAATAACCTAGAAGGTAACATACACGCACAGGAAATCAATGTGAGTCAATGCCCTGTATAGCTATCCTTATCTCAACCAGCAAAAACCCTTGTTCCTTCCTATTATAGCTTATACTCTCTCTACAACAAAATTAGAAATAAGGGCAAAATAGTTTCTGCTGGGTATTGAGGGGGTGGGGGAGAGAGGGAGGGGGGGCGGAGTGGGTGGTAAGGGAGGGGGTGGGGGCAGGGGGGAGAAATGATCCAAGCCTTGTATTGCACATATGAATAATAAAAGAAAAAAAACGAACTCGTAGAATGAAAGCCTTAAGTAGCTAGTTGAATATCTTCCTGCTTTTATTTATAACGTCATTGTTTCTGTTCTAACTTACATTTTTGCTAGTAGAGGTAGAATTTCTGGGAGGCACCAAATCTTTAATATCTCATTTCTTTTTATTTCCACACTTTTGAGTGAATGATCAAGAGTAATCTACTGGTAGTCTTATTTCCACCCCAAAAAAGTGCTTTCATTTGGATTCTTACGTACATCAACAAAGGATGTGGTTTTTGTTGGAATTCTATTATTAGTAAAATTATTATTTTAGTTTTTATTTTTTGGTGGTATTAGGGTTTGAATTCAGGGCCTTGCTTTACCACTTCGCCCCCAGCAAAATTTTAACTGTTCTTTAAAATTTCCCACAAAATAGAACTTTCCTATTTCAGGGGAGACAATAATCTTTTGAGTTCTTTTTCCACTTACTCAGTATCCCTGATTCAAATAATGTTTTCCTCTAGGGGAAAAAGGTATACCCTGAAGAGGCTAAGCATCTGAGAACTAGTGTGAGGCTGTGGGTCATCTAGGAGCAGGGGTTGGGGTCACTTCTAAAGGAGGAGGTTGCAGTTGCACATCCCCCACGGCTGCTAACTTAAGCATGATTAAAAACTTACCAAACCACTGCATCCAAAGCAAGGGGACTAATCAGTAGCTTATAAATTTCCCAAATAATTTCCTGATACTTTCTTAGTTAAATTTGGGGACTTATTTAAATTTCTTAGTCTCCTTAGGTAAGTTCACTTGTTCACATGGGCAGATGGTATTATTTAAGACAGATGATCCCAAGCTTATTTCTTATAGCCATGATGGAAACTCAAGCTTACCACTCATGTCATGACAAATAAAAAAACAAAGAAAGATAATACTTAATTTTTTTCTCCCCTCCCTAATTAGAAAAGAACGCCCTATATCGTTAGGGATTTTCCCATTACCTGCTGGAGATGGATTGCTTACACCTGACACTCAAAAAGGAGGTGAGACCCCAGGATCAGAGCAATGGAAATTTCAGGAATTAAGTCAACCACGTTCTCATACCAGTCTGAAGGTAAGCATTATTCTGTTGAAATTGGTACTTTAAGTTTATAAGTATTTTTACCAAATAGAAGTGCTAGATAACCAAAGTATAATAAAATATAGTAGTTCGTATACATTTTAGTTTGAATTTTTTTTTTTTTTTTTGGTGGGACTGGGGCTTGAACTCAGTTCCTCACACTAGGTAGGCTCTCTACCACTCCAGCTACTCCTTCATTTTGAGAAAGGATCTTACTTTATGCCTAGGCTGCCCTGTACCCCTGTCCTCCTGTTGTGCTTCCTTGTATCATAGCTGTGATGACAGATGCATACCACTGTGTTCAGCCGTTGGTTGAGATGGTATCCTGTGAACTTCAAAACACCGTCCTCCAAATCTCTACCTCTCAAGTAGCTAGAATTACAGTTGTGAGCCACTGTGCTAGCCTAGGGTTTTTTTGTTTTGTTTTATTTTTGTTTTGGTGGTACTGGGGTTTGAATTCAGGGCCTCACACTTGCGAGGCAGGCACTCTACCACTGAAGCCACTCTACCAGCTCCCTGTTACTATCTTGATCCAGAATTTATCAGCAAATAAGTGGTAAATATAATCAGTAATAAACTCTATCCTAATAATTCACTTTTAAAAATCTTTTTAAGGCTGTGCACAGTGCCTCGTGTCTGTAATCCAAAACACTTGAGAGACTGAAATTAGGAGGATTATGGTTTGAGGCTAGCCCAGGCAAAAAGTTCCAAGAGACCCCATCTCAACAAATAGCTGGGCATAGTGTGGTGGTAGCTATATTTTAATTGCTACCCAAAAGTACAATTTAAGAGAAGATGTAATTCTCTTATTATTTAATCCAATGACATACTTGGCAGAACTTTTCTAACAAATTATAACCAATTAAGAAATGATTAATGGGGGTTTAAGCACAGGTTTGTGTGTGTGTGTGTGTGTGTGTGTGTGTGTGTGTGTGTGTGTGTGTCCTCTCTGGAAATACTAAAGTCAGTACTCCCCAGAGAATTTCTAAACAAAATTCTCTCTCTCTCTACTTAGTCTGCACATAGAGCCACTAAAGAAGATAAAAGCTCAACAGATACCAATTTTCAGGAACGAGATGATACATTGCAAAATGGCATAAGTCCAATTTGTAAAGAATGTCTACAAATTAGAACCCTTATAATGAACCAGATGTCATTCCCTAACTCTATTAAGGGCTGGAGTCAGGGGTTGAGTTCCTTCATGGACCATAACATAGGCATGTCACATGCCCTCGTATTTTGGTTTCCATGTGAGAGAAGAATTGGACTAGATACTCTCTCTAGTTGAAAATGTTCTACAATTCTCATTTCTTTGGAGAACTTTTGAGGATTACCTAGCTATATTTAGGACATGCTTTGACTTCATTGTGAAAAAGTAAATGACAATTGACAATTACAACCAACATGAATTTTACTAGCACAATTTTTCTTCAAAGTAAGGTTAAGGTGAAAATGTTCTATGAGATAAAGCCAATGATGGGCTATAACCAGGGGAACTGGCTCAGAGAGAAAACTTTGTAGCAGAAGAGTAGCAGTAAAGGAGATTTACCCCCGATTGCAAAATTATGAACCTTCTTTGTTACTATATTGAAAATTTCCTACTATGAGAATCCTGTACTTAGTGAGATTATGTCATTCAGCAATTTTCTAGCAATGATGTACCTAGAAAACTACAAGTTTCTAAAAAAGAAAATGTTGTAGTATTCTTATTACATTCTTGTGGAGATAAACAAATAATTGAAATAATAGAATTTCAAGTATTAAGTGCTATTAAGAAAAGCAAGGTCAGGTCTGGGGACCTAGCTCAAGTAGTAGAGTGTTTGCTTAGCATGGACAAGGCTCTGGGTTCAGTCCCCAGCACACACACACAAATAAGGTATAATGGTGTTGGAAACATGATCAATGCAAGATACATACAAGTATAAAAATGTTGCAGTGAAACCCATTAATTTGTACAGTTAATATGTTAATAATTACAGTAGTAAAAAGGGAAAAAAAAGAAAGCAAGGTAGCTAAAGAGTAATAAATAGGGAAAGGTGCTTATTTTAGGGTGATGGTGTAGGGAAGGTTTGGAGTAGCTCTGGGAAGACGAGATAGCAACTATACAGGCCCTGGGGTGGGGCCCTTCTTGGGCATGTTTGAGCAGCAGTAGTTTTCTCTTGCTTGTGCTCCTGATCCTTCCTCTTCATCATACTCATTCAGTCCTACCTACTGCACCAACATGCCTTTGGTCAAGGTTGCCAAAAACACCCTTCTTTCCTAATCTACTGGAAAATCCTCAGTCTTCACCTTGTCTTTTAGCAGCGTTTAACACATTTGAATGTATTCACCTTCAGTTTGCTTCCAGGATGCCCTCCCTCCCAAGCACTCACTGATTTTTTTCACTGTCCCTTCCCCACTGCTTGTTTTGCTTCTGCTTTTGGTTCTATAAATGTTGGAGAACCTAGGACTTAAACCTCAGCCTCTTTCTTAATCTGGTTAGATCAAGTTCCATGTCTCTAAATGTCATGTTCACATTGATGTTTTTATAAGTTTCCTACCTTGACTCCTTCCCTGAGTTCCATACTTCTACATCCAGTTGCTTTTCTTTGTAGTTTCCCCATGTGTAGGTTTTACCCTGCCTTGATTACCAACAAGAAAAATACCATCTTTCAAGACCAGTCCAAGTTCTGTTCTGTTAAAAAAATGTGTTATAAAAGCGCTAAGTGTAGGAATGGGCAAAAATGTTAAGGTGAGCCTTTTCATCTAACTGAATTATTCATGAATAAGCTGAAAATAAGGAAAAATTTGAGAACAAAAGGCCAAGTATAACCAAAATAATACTAAAGAAGTAATACAAGAACTTGCCCTACCGCATAATAAGACTTTACTATCTGCTGGACGCTGGTGACTCACACATATAATCCTAGCTGCTTGGGAGGCTGAGATCTGGAGTTTCACAGTGTAAGCCTAGCCTGGGCAAATAGTTTGTGAGACCCCTATCTCCAAAATAACCAGAGCAAAATGGACTGGAGGTATGGCTCAAGTGGTAGAGTGCCTGCTTTGTAAGCACAAAGCCTGAGTTCAAATACCAGTCCACCAAAAAAAGGTCTAGTGGTGTAATTCTAAGGAATTTCCTTCCTGTTTCCTTTCTGCACACAATTCATTCCTAGAGCCACAAGGTTGCAGGCAGTGCAATAACACGTTTGAATGTGAATCATAAAAGGAGGAAATAGGGAATGTAGCCTACTCAAGAAAGTTAGGGTGATGGAAGGAGAGAAAAAGGCTTATTAGAGGTGAGAGTGGAGGGAGACGTATTCTTAGAATGGGAGTGACTGGGTTGTTTGTGTGGTTAGGACAATTCTTTAAAGAGACAAGAGAATAAAGAGATAATTGATATATAGAATCCTACAAGATGGACAGGAGAAAGGGACCATTTTCTCAAATGCAATTCAAATCTTTATTGATGGGGGGACATTTTAGTTTTCCTCAGCTTTCTATTGCAAACAATACTACAGTGAAAAACCAGCTAGGGCCTAGAACACAGAATGAAAATCATGTGGATGGAATCATACACATAACACACACATATGTATGTATACTCCAATAAAATACTCTTTCCTTGGAAGAGTATACTGGGATGTTGATTGTTAGCAGAACTGAGAAAAACAATTTTAACTAAAGGACAATTGGATTGCTACCTACTTGTGAAAATTCTAAAGAGTTCCTTTTACCCCATGTGACTTGAAATACTTGGTAGAACTGCTGTGAGAAGCTCTTGTTAGCAGGGTTTGGTATGTAAAGGCAGTGTTCAGTGTGCTGCATTCTTTAGGAGATGTGCTTAGCATACCGAACAGGAAACTCTAAACAGAGCCAGCATTCTTGTTGAGAAGAATTTCCATCCTCCTCCATGTGTGGTTAAGTTCTGAAATTGTTCCTGTTTCTTTAGTTTTCATATGCTTTCATCCCTGAAGTAGTTGAAGCATATTCCTATTATTGTTGGTTACTAAATTCCTATTATGAAATGTACATGTAATTATAAATTTTAAAATAGTTTAAAGTTTTAAATTTGTTTTGAAATAATTTTAGACTATAGGAAAGTTGCAAAAATAGTAGAGTTCCCATATACTTTTCACCCAGATTCCCCTATGTTTACTAATTATAGTACAATTTTCAAAACTAAAAAATTAACATTGGTATAATACTATTAACTAAACAATAGACTTGTGTTTGGGTTTCACCAGTTTTTCCAATAATGACCTTTTTTTTAAATTCCAGGATCCAGTGTAAGGATCCCAGATCATGTTTCTTCAGTCTCTTCCAGTATGTGACAGTTCCTCTCTTTTCTTGCCTTTCATGACCTTAAGACTTTTGAAGAACACTAGTTAATTATTTTGTAGAATGTCTTTCCATTTGAGCTTCTCTGATGTTTCCTCATGTTTAGATTGAAGTTATACATTTTTTGGAAAGACTACTACAGAAGCATTGAGCCTTTTTTCTTCTTTTGAGACAGGGTCTTGCTATGTAGTCCAGGCTGGCCTTGAACTCTGTAGTCCAGGCTGGCATCAAACTTACCATTCTCCAGCCTTAGCCTCCTGAGTGCTGTACCACCTCATCTAGCCCATTTTGCCTTTTGAAATGTATCACATTGGATTGTAAATACTGTGATGTCATTATGTCATAGTAGTGGTAATGTTAGCTTTGTATCACTTAGTTCAACTGATGTGTGTTACATATTTCTACTATACTGTTAGTATTTCCTTTAAAATTTTTTTCCTATTATAGTGCTGGGAATCAAACCCAGGGCTTTGCACAAATGTGAGGCATGTGCTCTACTATTAAGCTATGTCCCAATCCCCTCCCCGCTCTTTTGTGACTATGTCTTGCCATGTTGCCCAGGCTGGCTTCATTCATGATCCTCTTGCCTCAGCCTCCTGTGCTGAGATTATAGATGTGTGCCACCATGCCTAGCTTATTTTTTTCCTTTTATAGTTAAAAATTATCTTAGTGAATATGCTTTTTAGAACTGCAAATATCTTATTTCTCCTCAAACTTTCAGCCACTGATATCAGCATCCATTTAATGGATCTTGCCCACAACAATTATTAGTAACAATTATTACAATTATTTCTGTTTTCTTTTCTTTTTTTTTTTTTTTTTGGCTGTTTATTTATTTATTTTTCATTTTTCGTCTGTTTTCTTTATTAATTCTACATTTATTAATTGAAATTAAGGAATAACTGTCCTCTTCTTCCCATCTTCCCTTCCCTCTTTTCATTCACTTTGGGCTCAGTAAGTGTGTATTTTACTCAGTGGGTTACCTAGTCCTATCATGTATTTGGTTTCTCAAAAATTTCCATCTTTGAACATTGGGAGCTTTTCCAGGTTGGCTCCTGTACTCTTTTGACACACCCCATCCTTTTTTTTTGACAGGTTTTCAAATGAGTTAGTTTATTTCAAGGTGATACAGAATTCAAAGTACAACAAAGACCAAAGAACAGAGTCTGGCAGGATTCTAGGCTGGGTTTACTTTAAATTCATAGCTGAAGTACAGATGACTAACACATTGACCAACAAACTAGACACAACAAGCCTCTATGTTATGATTTTTTTTTAAACAAAAGTTACTTATACTTAACTGTATAACAGTGCAAGACAATACTTCATTCTAGCTATAGGTGGCAACAGATGTTATGGCAGGCAATCCAGATGCTTAAATAGGAATGGAATCAGGGTCACCATCATCTCAGGCACAATTGCCAAATTTCTTAATTCCACTTGTGGCCAGGGGCCCTTCCCCATAGTCTTCGCTTTTAGCTCCTCTTTTTGTTTCTGCTTGAAAGCTTTATTTTCCTCATCCATCTCCTTGGCCTGGATCCTGGGTTGTTTCAGGGGCTCCTCCTTGCCATCTTCCTCAAGACCCTTACCTCATCCTTTTTTGAGTACTTCTTCCTTACTGGCACCATAAGCTGCTCCAGACTCTTGTATCTTCTCTGCCCTAGTCCTGAAAATCAGGCTCTTCTTAAAGGATTACCAGTTCCCTTTTTTTGGTGGTACTGGAGCTTAAACTCAGGTCCTACACTTTGAGCCACTCCCAGCCCTTTTGTATGATGGATTTTTTCCGAGATAGTGTCTCATGGAACTATTTGCCGGGGCTGGCTTGGAACTGAGATACTCCTGATCTCTGCCTCCTTGAGTAGCTAGGATTACAGATGTGAGCCACCGGTACCTGGCCCACTGGTTCCTTTTATTGGAGAGCAACATTTAGGTTCTGAAGTTGAGACACAGAATGGGTTGATTTCTTGGGAAATAGGTACTTGTTGGGCCCTCTCTTTCCTTCACGCTCATGTTGTTTTTCTATTTTTACTTCCTTCTAGATTTTTGTGTTAGTGTTTATAAGAGAGTAGAACAAAAGTAGAATTTTAACAGAAAAATGGATTATGCATTATGATAGTTCATATTATTTTTGCTTGTGACAGTGCATAAGATATTTCTTCTGTTATCTCAGTTTTTCTTTATAAATTTTACTTGTATGTATCCTCATTTGATAACTTCAGCAGCCACCCTTAGCTGAATGTTGTGGTTTGAAGGGGAAAAGGGTAAAGACTTGGTCCTTTCAATAATTTTAAACTTTTGCTTGGGGAAGGGGAAATGGAATTATTTCTTTGTTAGTGAATGTTTTGTATTATATTTTATGTTGACCAAGATGTTTATGTATGTTGAGAATGAAAATTGATAAAAATCTAAGCAATACTATTTGAAAATGATGCTGTTTAAAGCTTATATTTTTAACGTGGCTTCTTTTTAAGTAATTGATGCATAGGTATTTATTAAATATCTATTAATGTTTAATGTTTAAGCTTTTAGAATAAGAAAAGTTATTTTAAATATTTCCTGTTGAATAAAAATGGCCTTGCTTTTTCCTTTTCAAAAATACTTACTGGTCAGGTTTGGTGGTGTATGTCTATAATCCAGTACTTGGGAGGCTGAGGCAGGAAGATCATGAATTTGAAGCCAACCTGGACTTATGTAGTAAGTCCCAGGCCAGCCTAAGCTACACAGTGAGACACAGCCTGAAACAATAAGAGCTGGAGGTGTAGTTCAATAGGAGAGCGCTTACCTAGCATGTGCAAAGGCCTGGGTTCCATCCCCAGCATCACTTAAAAAAAAAATTATTGATGCTCACTGTGTCAGACACAATGCCATGTATTAGAAATGTTTTAAGGTGCACAGATATACAAAACAGGGTTAATAATTTCTTCAGACCTTATTTGTTACATATGCATACACATAAATGACTTACATATAATGATATTTTGGGAGAAATGGACTTATCCTCTAAGCATTTTTCCTGCATTTTAACAATATATCTTGGTAGCCTATACTTTTATACGTATGTAGAGAGAGTCACCCAATTTTTTTTACCTAGTATCTGATGAATAGTTGAGAATTAAGATGATGAGAATTCAGAATCAGAGATCACATAAATAAGTAGTAAGTACTCTTACCTTGTATATGTACACCCACCTCACAAAAGTAAACTATGTGAGAGTGCTCAATCTATTCATTGGCTTTACTGTGATGATCATTGCAACAGTGTGTGTGTGTATACCAAAACATCAACTTGTATACCATTTTATTTGTCAATTATACCTCAGTAAAGCTAAAAAAAGAGTAACTATTAAGGGAGAGGCAATCTGTTTCTATAAAGTCAATCATGCCTTGCTAATCTGTGGGGTTTCAAGGGGATTGACTGAGAACTAGCAACTATATTTTAGCTTTTCAAAAAGATATATATCTTTGTGTGTGCATATATTTATATATATATACACACACAAATATTTGTGTGTATATATGTATACATATACATATATATATATATATATATATATACACACACACACACACACATATACATACATATATATATATATACCCATGCACACACTTTTTTTTTTTTTGGCCAGCACTGGGGTTTAAACTCAGGGCCTCACACTTGCTCCTTTTTTGTGATGGGTTTTTTTGAGATAGGGTCTCAAACTATTTCCCTGGGGTTGGCTTCAAACTATGATTTTCCTGTTCTCTGCCTCTTGAGTAGCTTCAAAAAGAATTTGATGAACTTCTAGTCCAAGACTATTTAAAATTTGAGATTGCCTTGTGTTGAGGAAAAACACTTTTTTTTTGTCTCATAGAGGAAAATGTACAGCTAGCAATAAAGAATATGAATAACTAGAAAGACTGGGCATCTCAGCCACCCTTTGATCCTTGGTTTTATCTGACGGTTTCAGAAATGATTCTGGGAGAAAGGCAGGTATAGGAAACATTTTCAAGTATACTACACTGGAATGATTAGTATGCTAAATATTCAAAGTGACGGGCATAAATGTCAAGAAGATTTTCCTTAAGAGTTGTGTAAGTAGGAAAAAAAAGGTTAAGTGATGAGCTGCTTATCAAAAATTACAAAGTAAGACCCCCAACCCAACAGGTATTTTCTCATATAGAACATTATTTTATAATACCACTTAAACTGGAGTCTTAGGTGATTTTAAGTCAAAAACAAACCAAATCCTCATTTTAAATATAGTAGATAATAGATAGATCTTATATCCTTAGAGGTAGTACAAGCCAAAGATACAAAAATGTTAACACCTAGTAAATACGTTTTTTTTCTCTTTTATAATCTTTCCCTCTACCCAGGTCAGCCATAGTCCTGAACCTCTGAAGGCTGTAGAACAGGAGGTGAGAATGGTGTTTCAAAAAGTTGTGCAAAAAGTAAACAAAAGAGATTAACTATTGATTATTTCCTCAAACTGCTATTCTCCAGACATCACATGCTCAGCTTGGGAGACCATTGATGTTATTCTCTGAAGTACAAAAGAAAATAAGTTACAGTGGTTGCCAAGTCTTTACTGTGATCTGTATTTTACTCCTCCAGAGTAAGCATTTGAAATAAAGGAGAGAAAAGATAAGTACATCCTGTGAAAATTCAGCCTGTTTCCATTTATTGGGCTCTAGATAAGAAAGTTGTTGTGCTTTGTACCAAATACCTACTTGAGGGCAGAAGGTACATAACTTACATGTGTCCTGGGGACAGCCAAGGGTGTCAGTTTACTGGGGCTTCTTCCCTGGCTATAGTTTCTTCAGCTCCATTCAGGGCACCATTCGGCTTTACTCAGCAAACAACTCTTAAGATCTTACTGCTTGTCAGGCTTTATATGCTGGTTACTGAGGATAAAAAGACAAGACTTTCTCCACCCCTCAGGTCAGGGGTTAACCTGGGTCCATGGAAGCCCCTCAGCATTGATAGTGAAGGCAGCATTCTCTTCTTTCAGAAATACCCTCATGTTAAGACATTCATCCCTTTTCTTTAGAACTAGCATTCTCTCTAACCTATGATACTGTTTATATCTAGGTGTTTTATCTACATATGAATGTTTAGAGTTTTGGTTCTGATTTCTTTAGGTCACATACTCTTTCATCTAAGAATCTAATTACATGAAACTCTATCCCAAAAGACATATGTACACACAGGTTTTCTGACTGTTGCAATACAGAGTTGTAAATCAAAAGAGTTTTAAGAACCACTGCTAGAGCTGGGCATAGTGACGCTCTTCTGTCTGTCATCCCAAGCTGTGGGGATGGCTGAGATCGGGAGGATTGCAGTTCCAAGCCTCTGGGTCAACAACTTTTTTGAGACCCCCATCTCAATGGGAAAAAGCTAGGCGTAGTGGTGTGCACCTGTCATCCTGAAGTGATAGTGGGAAGCTAAAATAGGATCGTGATCCAGGCTGGCCTAGACAAAAAGTGAGACTTTGTCTTTAAAATATATTACCAGAGTAAAAAGGGCTGCAGTAGAGTGCCTGCCTAGCCAAGCAAGGTGCCCTGAATTCAAACCCCAGTACCAAAAATAAACAAACCACAGCTTTAGAGACAAGGTGAAGTTTTATTTGGGGAGAGAGAAATGTAGATGTAAAATTATAAGGTGATATGTGTTATAGTAGGAAATTTCATATGGGAATAGTTACTTGCTGGAAATTTTATCTTTACTCCCATTCACCTTAAAATCTTCAAATCTAAAACACAGAAAACTTAGCAGAGTTGCTTTTCCCTTATTTAGGCTACTAAGTTAAACACTACAATGGGACATGTAGTGCTTGTAAGTTATACTTAATAGAATATATTTTCTATAGTTGTAAACGTAGTTTACACTCTATTAGAAAATAAATTATGGTACAGTGTCAGATAACACATGACATTTATTCTGTACAACTCTGAACACATGACACATTTAATGAGAGGAACAACTGAAAGTATTTTGAAAGGTTTATAGACTTAGCCTGATATATAAAACCAGTGGGGAAAATGACACAAAGACTAGATTGTACTTCTGCCATGGATGGTGTCTCAAGTGAAACCCAAAGTAATGACACTTTTTATTATTGTCGTGGTAAAAAACACATAAAAATTTACCATATTAACCATTTTATGTAGTTTAAGTATATTCATAGTAGTATAAAACAGATCTCAGAACTTTTTTGTCTAAAACTCTATACCCATTAAACATTAATTTCCCTATCTACTACCCCTAATAACTACCATTCTACTTTCAGTTTCTATGACTTTGACCTCATATATCTCATATAAATGGAATCATAGTATTTGTGTTTTTGAGACTGTTTCATTTCGCATAATGTCCTCAGGATTCATCTGTGTGATAGCAAGTGACAGTATTTCTTTCCTTTTTGGTTTTTGTTGTTGCTGTTTTTGGTGGCAGTGGGTTTGAACTTGCTATGCAGGTACTCTATCACTTGAGCCACTCTGCCAACTTTTTGTGGTGTGTGTGTGTGTGTGTGTGTGTGTGTTTTGAGTATTTTCAAGATAAAGTCATGGGAACTATTTGCTGGCCTTGAATGGCAATCCTCCCGATCTCTGTCTCCTAAGTAGTTAGGATTACAGCCTTGAGCCACTGGCTCATATATATTTATATATGAATGTGTGTATATATCTATCTATCTGTATGTATGTATATGTACACACACACACACACACACACACTAATGGGAGTGAGGTACTATCATTGTGGTTATTATTTTCATTTCCCTAGTAGTTAAGAATTTTTTCATATGCTTTTTAACTATTTGAATATTATCTCTGAATTATATCTTTTTTTTTTTTTTTAAAGCACATCTTAAGCATGGACAGGATGCAATTTCTTTGTGTCTTAATATTGCATTTCCAAATCAGGTCCTTGCCTTTTGTGGATATCCTCCAGTAACGTGCACAGTCTATAATGTGGTAGTTCCTTAAAGGCTTTCAAGGGAAAAAGGGGTTTGTTAGAAAGAGATTTGACAACTGTGTAATTCTGTGTGTTTGACACCCACACATGCCATTGGAAAAGATGTTTTGTTGCATTTTGTGACAGTGTCTCACCAGATATCCCATGCTGGCCTTGAACTCACATTCTTTCTGCCTCTGCCTGGAATTTCAGGCATGTATCACCATGCCTGGCTGAAAAGATAACATCAGACAATAGGATTTGATAGGCTACTGATTTTCAAATGAGTAACATGGCATTTCCATCAAGACTATTAGCCAAAACAGCACAGCCTTTCAACTGGCCTGGAAAGTCTCAAAAAATGTAAAATAGGAATTTGTAGTCTCAAGAAACCATACTGAATTAATAATGAAAGACAGGACTATAAAATAGGTTCAGTGTGGTGGGGAGACACTACTGGGGCGTGGTGAATGAAACAGATTAAGGTGAGAGGGTATATGGTTAATGGACATCATATACTTATATGAAATAGAACAAAGAAACCTCTTGCAATTGCTTTAAGTGAGGGGGAGGGACAATGGGGGTGATCTAACCAATGTACAATATAAGCCTAATCAAAAAAAAAAGAGGTATCAAAAAAATACCTCTTTTGAAACTGTTCCCTTAAAATTTAGAGCTTTTTCCTCATAGCTCTCATGCTGTACCCCTGGGCTCCACTTGTCAGAAGGATATCTCACACAGTGAGCTATTTTAAAGAGTAGAGTATTTTTATATGGCAAAAGCATAAAAGGGAAAGAAATTACAGGTAAATAAGTTTCATGTTTTTTGGACAGCCTAGGGCAAATTTAAAACATTTTCTTCTAAGTAGACCTTAATTTACCACTTCCTAGTAACCTGAAACCTTTGGAACCTGTTTCAGGTTCATCTCACTCCTGGGTCTTTAATTTTATGCTTTCAGGGCCACAAATGAATGTGGAGAGGTGAGCTTTTGCCAAACTGTTTTTATTGTGAACTCTTGATTAGTAAGTAAAAAAATTTTAAGGTGAAGGCTGGCAGAGTGGCTCAAGTGGTAGAGCTCCTGCCTAGCAAGCATGAGGACCTGAGTTCAAACCCCAGTATCACAAAAAAAAAAAAGTATATATATATTAAGGTAAACATATCCAGACTTTGGGGTGGACGGTGTTGGTGGTGCTTAGAATTGTAAGGAGGAAGAATAAGTAATTTCTCTATTTGACTTTTATTTAAGAGGGAAACAAGTCTAAGATTGGCCTCAAGTCATTTGTTTTCAAATAGCTTCAAAAGCATAATCATTTTCTTAGTGTAGATGAACTTGATATTTTTTGAGGCTTTTGAATCAGCTCTCTTAATTGGTGTGGGAGCTTTCAATAGGGACATGGTATTTATTTTATACTTTAAATATGTGTTACAGCCTAGCACTCTGAAGAGTGAGAATTCATGTGTATGAGAACATAAATATGAATTAGCCAGACTGTTAAGTCAACCAAAATGATAGCATGTTTATTTTTTAATGGAGTACACATCAAAGCAAAGACAGAGTGGTGCTAGAGTGAGAGTGGCTTATAACCATGGTTACTTACTCTAAGCCTCTTTGGCTCAAAAACATTACTGTCAGGTTTTCTGATTCAAATTCAAAACAAGCTAATTTGATTGACATAGTAGATTTTTTTAATCAGATATTTAGATGCCAATTACCAGGTCAAGGAAATAGCAATTTTATCTTTTAATTTTGAGCAAGGAAGAGATAATGGAGAATTGAACTGTTTCTTTCATTTGTCTTCCTTTTCATTGGAAATCAATCCAGTATTTGAGTTCCACAGAAAAAAATGCTAACTTTATGAGCATATGGTTAGTGTTGCCCTTCAGATGACAGATGATCAAATTTATCTTAAACACAACTCAATAATGCATGGAAAGCCTCCAATTCATAAAAAGTATGAATTTTTTTTCTCAAAACTTTCTCTCAAATTGAAAGATAAACTCACTAATTATATTCATTCAGAATTGTTTAGAACTTATTTTGCTTTTTTCCCCCCTCTCATAAAAAGTAGTGCTTGCCTGTTAAAAGAAGGTCTGGGGTGGGGGTGGGCATGGCTCAAGTGGTAGAGCATCTGCCTAGCAAGTTCAAGGGCCTGAATTTAAATTCCAGTACAAAAAAATTTGAAAGAATAAAAAAGTATCATAAGCAGGAAAAAAAAATATACCACCTTAGTCATTTTATATGCTTTTTTAGACTTGGAGCCATGCCTCATTTATCATTTCATATTCAAATTGATATTATTTTAATTCATTATACTATATAAAATAGTTTTAGTGGCTACTGTAAGGGTTTTTTTTGGGGGGTGGAGGGGGAGGACTTGTTTGTTTTTTGCTAGTGCTGGGAATTGAACCCAAAGCCTTTTGCATGCATGGCAGGTGCTCTACCACTAAGCTACATCCCAGTCCTACAACACAGTTTTTAAGGCTGCATAGTATTTTGTTGTATGGATTTTCCACAATTAGCTTATTATCCTATTTTGAAGCATTCACATTTTTGCAAATTTTAATTTTTTTATTGTGGTAAAATCACTTAAGGTAAGATCTGCTCTCTTAAAATTTTCAGTGTACATTCCGTTATTGTTGGCTGTAGGTATTGTGCTATACAACAGCTCTCCAGAACTTTTTTGTCTTTTTCGAGTGAAACTTTGTGCCTCTTGGTTAGCAACTCTGTATTTCTCCCTCCCTTCTAGCCCCTGATAACTACCATTCCACACTTTGCTTCTATGAATTTGATTGCAGTTTTTTGCTGTTATAAATGATTGCATGTATACATCCTTGATTATTTCTTAAACAGTACATATATACTTTTCAACTTATATAAGCATTTTTCTCTGTTATGAAAATTCATTTTTAAAGTATTATACTCTAACGTGGATATACCTTTTTTTTTTTTTCTTTAGCTAGATTCAAAATGTCAGGAGATTCAGTTTTGGTAAACGCATTATTATTATCTGTCATGATACATGTATTTCCTAAAATTATCATGAGCATTAAAATATTCAGTAGCTAGCCAGGTATCACACAAGTACAAGTATAGTGTAAACTGTCAAAAATTGAGTAAATAGCAAGTTTTGGGATGAAGGTCTTCAGTGAACACATGGGGTTTATCCATGTGTTAGAGTCCATGCCCACCAATGGAGCTAAGAATCTTTATTTTTTGCAGTGCTAGGGGTTGAACCTAGGACCTCAAGCATGCTAGGCAAGTGTTTTACCATTGAGCTATGAATTCTTGGGCCTAGAATCTTTTTTTTTTTTTTCTTTTTGGCAGTATTAGGGCTTGAACTCAGAATCTCACACTTGCTAGGCAGACGCTTTATCACTTGAGCCACTCCACCAGCCCAGCCCGAGACTCTTAATGAATAACTCCACATTGAGTTTGCCAATTACATTCTTTAACGTTCTGTATTTCTCCTTAAACAACAACAGCAACACAAATAAATAAATAAAACACCCAGCATAGGAATAAAGGGTGTAAGGAAACTATTGAAGGAATTAAGAACTTTCTTTGTTATAACAAGTATAAGTATATATTTATATATATGACTATATATAATATTATATATGAATATGTTATTCAAGTTATGAAAAGTACAATGATAAATTATAATAATAGCAAATATTTTTGTGAATTTTTTTTATTGGGGTTTAGGGCATGGGATGGGAAATGTCACCTTGGGATGGCACACCCTCCCTTTCCCTTTCCTCCCCAGAGAATGTCTGGTCTAATCTTCCTGGGATGTTTTTCAGAACTTTTTCTTTTTAATAGCAGACACTTTAAATACTTAATATGCGTGATGCGTGAGATACATTGCTAAGCTATTATATAGAACAATTTATAAATATCCTATAAGTAGGCAGCATTATCAACAGATTAGAAAACATAGATATTGAAAGAATGTATACTTTACCCAAGGTTATAAATTTCATGAGCAATGAATGTATTGAATGTATCCTGATTATCTTTATTATTTAGTAGTAGTGAGCCTTCTGTTTCTTTTTAAGATGTAAAGATCTCACCAGGTGGCCTCAGTCACCTGAGCTGACTTAACAAGTACCTGGGAATACGTTGTGCACCACTACACTGGGCTTAGAAGTTGTAAACGTCCTGTCGTGGTTCCTTTCAGCAGACTTTGTACTTTAGGGGGAACCATTTTAAAAATTATTTTGGAGTCAAACCCCTTTGAAATTCTGATAAAAGCTGTAGACTTTTTCCCAGAAAAATGCATTGTACACAGATTTTGCAATTTTAATCTGTTTGTATATCTTTTACCTGGAGATCCTAGAGTAGTAGTTATTAAGTTTTAGTTGAGAACGTGAATAACCGAGTTGCCTGTCGTACATAATACTTTCTAAAGTTGGATATATAAAATCCGGGTTTGGACTTAAAAATCTGTTTTTTTTAAACAACACTTCACGTGATTTGGATATGGGATGTATTAAGACCACAAAACTATCCTAAGTTTAGAATCTGTTTAGTCCACTGCTGTTTAGGAAAGCTACTTCAGAGTAGGTGCTCTAATTGCTTTAACGTGTTTATCATCACTGATTATATAGTATTATAGCTGCCAGTAAAAATTGTTGACATTAAACATATAATTTTTATGTTAATACTTTCAATCTTCTGTTTTCACATTTCTGTTTGGAAAAATTTCATGTTTGTGTGGAAAGTACATGACTTACTTAAATTTTCCCAATTATTTGCAAAATAGAGATTTTTGATAATCAGTGATCTTGATTGCCTTTTTAAAAATAGGAACTTCCTTTGGACAGGTTTATTCTTAACTCATTTTCAAAGTGTTTCAGAGTAAATTACTTGGTTAACAATTTTTTCCTTAACTGGGCACCAGTGGCTCAACCTATAATCCTAGCTACTCAGAGGCAGATATCAGTAGGATCACAGTTCAAAGACAGCCTAGGCAAATAGTTCCGTGAGTCCTTAAAAAACCTCCTTAATTATATTTATTTGCAGGATGAACTTTTGATGTTAGTCAAGGTGGATCTAAAGCTACTACTCCAGCATCAACAGCAAATTCAGATGTGTCAGCAATTCCTGATGACACTCCCTTAAAGGAAGATAATGAAGGATTTCTGAAGGGCACAGATACACCAAATAAGTCAGAAGATAAGCAAACACATTGAAGTACAAGTAGCCCAAGAAACTAGAATGTATCTACAGGTAAGTGACGCTAGTTCTTATCAGCAAAGTATTCAGTTAACCCACATGATGTAGTTATGAGAAAACATGTCTTTGGGGTGTCGCTTGCTTTAGATGGGGAAAGTAAGTAGGTAGCTCATTGTGTTCAATTGTAAGTGAGATTAAAAGAAGTAATGATTACATCAAATTTTGGAGAGAAAAATGTTCAGGGCTGGGAGATCAGCCCCCAACATCCTTTCCTGTCCTCTATTTTAGTGTATTAGTCTAAGTATTCCATCCTCTTTAGTAGGCTTGTTTGTTTGTTTGAGATAGTCTCACTATGTTTTATAGGGTGCCTCAAACTTCTAGGCTCAAGTGCTTCTGTCTTACCCCTCCAAATAGCTGGGAGTATAATTTGTATGGCACCATGTCCAGTACTACCCTTTAAATAGGAATGAAAGCAAGACCTTGAATACTGTGTGTCCCAAAAACCACTAAGTTACTAGTTTCTGTGATTGACTATTATCTAAATATACAATATTGTCTAACCCCATGTTTCCTAGAACCCATCCTTTTACATTTTTTAAAGTACTCAGTTGATATATTTAAAAACCATAAAGGCAGCAAGATTTTCATAATAGGGTACTGTTTAATATATGTATTGTTTATTTCATCATGTCCTATCCCTAGGCTCTGCTGAAAATGAAGAGAAATCAGAAGTTCAAGCAATCATCGAATCCACTCCTGAATTGGATATGGACAAAGATCTCAGTGGATATAAAGGTTCAAGGTACTGAAAATGTCAGATTAAGACATTTTGTCTTTCCTTTTCTCTACTCCCATAGCACTCTGGTTTGTGGTCTCTGACCAGACAAGATCAGTTCATATTTTGCTAAAGAAATGTTGGTATTATAATTCTAGTTTCTATCTTTGAAACTGGGCTTTTTTTTTTTTTTTTTTTTTTTTTGCAGTGCTATGTTTGAACTCAGGGCCTACCCTTGAGCCACTCCACCAGCCCTTTTTTTTTTTTTTCCTGAAGCGTGTTTTTGGGATAGGGTCTCACAAACTATTTTCCCGGGCTGGCTTTGAACTGCGATCCTCCTGATCTCTGCCTCCTGAGTAGCTAGGACTGCAGGCATGAGACATCAGCACCTGGCTTGGACATTATTTATGGTTTAAATTTTGGGAAGAAATTGCCCTTGCTGTATCAGGGATTAGAACATATGGAAGATGGTGTCTGTTTGTGTTGCTAAACAGTAACTGAGCCTGGTTTAATTTATAAAGAACAGAGATTTCTGAAGGCTAAGAAGTCCAAGATCAAGGCTCTGGCTGATTGATTGTTTAGTGACTGCTGTTCTTTGCTTCCATTATGCAAAGGCATCATTGTACAATTAATATACACTAGGAAAAAAGGGGGAAAAGCAAAAGCAGAAGAAAAAGCTAGTCAAATGTTGCGTGAAGTTTCTTTTATAAGAGCTATTCACCAAAGAGGAACCCTTATGGCCTAATCATCTCTTAATCATCCCATCTCTTAATACTATCCCATTGACAACACCTAATTTTGGAGGGGACACATTCAAAACACAGCAACTGGGGGGAAAAGACCGCTAGTAGGTATGTAACTTGAGGAAACAAAGAGGAGGAGTGAGGGAAGTAACAAACTTTGAGAATGTATTTTTCTCTTTGGAACTGTAAGGATCTAATTATTGGAAGCAATTAGTTGTATTTTAGTATCATTTTACATGGGAAGGTTGCCTGGTGGCTGGGGAATGGTTTGGTATCATCTTAATTAGGATTATCTGACATATGTTGATGTTCAAGAATGTTAGACAGAAGCTATTGGCTTTCTTTGAGTTTCTTCCACAGATTTTACCTTTTAATTCACTAATTAATACTGATCATAAAAATGCATACCACTTATTAGTCTCTGCAAAGCATTGAGTAGTATGTAGTAGTGATTAAAAACCTGGGCCCTAGTGTAAACAGATCTCTAGAATAAGACTATGTGGGTTCAGATCTTGCCTCTCAGATTCTCTGTTTTTTTTTTTTTTTGTGCTGGGGTTTGAACCCAGTACCATCCATCTTTTTCATTCCTGAATTTAATTTTATGTTAGTTTTTGTTATTTTCTACAGTTGATTTCCCTAGTTTACAAAGTTCTATTGTAAGTGTTTTTAACCATTAAGTCATAATTTTTTTTTGCTTTGTATGTATATTCATAATTGATTTAATTCGTACCCATTAATAATCAACTTAGGTTCATTTCAACCTTTTGCCCAGTATGAAAAATGCTACTCTGACCACTTTTACATACATAATACCCTCTTGTGATAAGGTTTATTTGTTTTGGTTTTGCCTTTGTTTTTGTTAGTACTGGGTTTTGAATCAGGGGCTTTATGCTTGCGAACCAAGCACCTTTACCGCTTGAGCCATTGGCTTCAGCCTTTTTTCCCTCTGGTTATTTTTAGTGATACAAGTCTCATTTTTGCCCCCAGGAGGGTGAACAGAATCAAATAAGCTGCCCTTGTTGTTTGTGGCTTTGCTGGGATCTCATGAACATGCTATACATTTTTACCACATCTAGGGGAATTTCTAGGAAATTCTGAGAAATCCTTGTTTTTTTTTTTAATGTGCTGGTACTGGGGCTTGAACTCAGGGGCCTCACACTTGTAGGCAGGCACTCTATCATTTGAACCACTCTGCCAGCCCCTTTTGTATTGGGTATTTTTCAAGATAAGGGATCTCAAGAAACATTTGCCCTAGCTGGCTTATGAACCTCAATCTTCCTCATCTCTCCTGAGTAGCTAGGATTGCAAGTATGAGGCCGGGTATATGATGAGAAATCTTCTTCAATTAATACTTTAATTATAATCTTTTAAAGTTAATAGCTTATATTTAACATTTTACTAAATATAATATTATAGAAGTTCTTATGTTTTGCTTATCCCATTGTATTTAAAAAATAACTGGTGAAAAAGTCCTTGTAATTTGTTTGTTTTGGTTTATTATTTACAAAGCACTCCCACCAAAGGCATAAGAACAAAGCTTTTTGATCGCAAACAGAATCATCTCTTTGAATGCAACTGTCTTCAGCTGGCTCCAGTCCATTGGAGATGTGGATGAAGGAGCAGATTATCTAGGTATGAAGATCATCTGGAGAAAGTACCATGCTGTTTTAAAAATGAATGTTCTTTCATTAATTTAAGTTGTCAACATTCCTTAAAAATGCTTTCCAGTTGGCCTGATGCTTACAGAGTTATGTACTTGTAGGAAATTACTGAGAACATATTCCTCTTGAGACTACAAGTTTTAAATGAAAGCATCTTCACATATGTATAATGCATAGAATTGAATTTGATTTAGATTTTATTTTTGAATTCATTGATAACGCAATTTATTGATACTCCTGAGGCAGATATTTATACAGAAGGCAATAGTGTGTGTGTGTGTGTGTGTGTCGTGTGTGGTGTGTGTGTGTGGGTCATGGGTGCAAGGATGGATGAAAACCATAAGTCCCTGGCTAAGATAAATCTCATTGAATTGAATTCTGTTGACCTTAATTAATAAAAGCAATCTATAAAACACTTGATTTTTTAGAGCTATCACAAGACCATTACGTTTTTACCTCTGTGGAAAATATAATAATTTTAAAGTTTTTGTTGACTTAGGGATTATACAGGGCCTAGGTTTAATCCCTAGCTTACCCACCCCCCAAAGTTTCTTTTGTTGTTGAAATACATAGTTTTAAAAAGGAATACTGTTATGGCTCATTACATATAAATTTATTGGTGACCTTTACCCCAAATACCTTAACCTTTCTAGGCTCTGTGTAAATTGGAAGGGACATTCGAAATCTATCAGGAGTCAGACTTCCTGTGTGTGTTGATACAGCTTAACTGGAACACAGACACCCTGCCCCCTCCTCATTTGTTTATGTCTATGATTACCTTTGTCCAACAGCAGAGAGTTGAGTAGTTTTGTAGCAGAGGATGCATTTGGCCCACAAAAGTCTAAAATAGTGCCCTCTGGCCCTTTTAAAGAAAAAAGTTTGCCAAACGCCCTGGCTTCTTAGGTGATTGCTAAGGTTTCATCTGTAGCAATAATTATTGTGATCTGGCTCAAGTGAATGATTTTCTTAAAGTACTTTTGTTATAAGTTCAAGCGGACCTTGTAGAAATTGAAATTATATAAAATGTAAAAATGTATCCTTGAGATACTAGGCTGCAAAAGTGTTCCTAGGGCTGGTGAATGGCTCGGTGGGAGAGTACATGCCTTGCAAAGGTGGGCCCATTAAAGTCTACCACAAATTAATAAAAGTTCTGTTAGTGTAATTTATACAGGACTACCAGCTGTTTGTAAAAGAGCGCTAATTGTCAAGTCTTGTAAATGTAGTAGTGGAGTGGGACGTTGATAATACTAACGTAAGTTAAAATATTGATGACCAGTTGTGTCTTGACGTGTGAATAGTTTGATTTTAAACACAAAGTTCAGCAAAGTGTGTGGTACATGCTGTCAATTTCCAGCACTCAGGGACTGGAACAGGCGGATCATGAGAATAAGGCACCCTGAACTATTATGGTGAGAATCCTGTACTCAGAAAAAATAAGACACAAAAAAACCCAAAAAATCTACAAGTTTATCTGAACATATGTAATATATACTAGAGAGAGAGAGATTGCAAAAGTACATAATTTAACTATTTTGTGGTTAGACACCAAGAGGACTCCCACCCACCGGTTAGGTCATGCCTATAATCCCAAGCTACTTCAGGAGGTAGAGATCAGGAGGATCACAGTTTCAGAAGGCTCAGCTTAGGCAAATAGTTCAATGACTCTATCTCAAAAAACCCATTTCACAAAAAAAAATTGGGTCTGGTGGGTGCTTAAGGTGAAGGCCCTGAGTTTAAGCCTCAGTACCACAAAAAAAGAAAGTCTAAGTAAAACATTGAGGAAAAAAAAAAACATGGAAATGAATTAATTCTCAAGGAAATCTCGAGAAAGTATAATTCTTAAGAAGATACTCTACTTTACTTCAGATTACAAGCTTGCACTTTTCAATTATAAATGAAAAACTTCTTTTTACATTTAATTTGCCTTAAGACATGAGATCCTGGTAAAACTAACGTGATAAGATGCTTTTTAAAGTTTAAAAGAAAACTTTTAAAATTAAAAAAATTGTATTTTGGCTGGAGGTATGACTCAAGTGGTAGAGCACCTGCCTAGCAAGCATAAAGTCCTGAGTTCAAACTCTATTACCTCCAAAAAAATTACATTCAAATTTACATACATTAAAATTCACTGTTTTTTTTTTTTACTTTGGACAAATATAGCGTCATATAACCACCTCCATAATCAATATACTTCACCTACCAAAATTTCCTTCATTTTGCTTCCTTATATATAACCAGAATTAAGCTATTTTTAAATTCATAATTAACAGGCTCTTCTGCCTCAAACCCCAGTAGTGAGTAGATACAATTTTTTCAGGATTGTGGGCCCCATTCTTTCTTTTTCGTAAAGAATTAACGTCATACGCACTTAGTAAAGAATTAAGTCTATTAGCACTTAGAAAATAATTATAGTCACTGAGGCTCAAGTGATGTCCTGAGTTCAATCCCCTGCAAAAATGAATGAATAACTAAAATAAAAACTGTGATCTTTTTAGTTAAATCAAGTAATTTTCTGAAAGCCAAAAATTAAAATAATAATTAAGCAAAATCCTTTGATTTCCTTTCCATGAAGATAAGAGACTATAAACCACTCTTTTCTGCTTTGCATATCTTAGTATATTTAGCTCTAGAATTTTCTAGATTAGGGTATTTTAATTTATTGAAATTAGTGGTTTATGCCTATGTAAATACTTCTGATCAAAGATGGTAAGTGATATTTCTAAGGAATGTATTTATTTTCTGGCTTCTAGGCAGTTCAGTGATAAAACTGAGAGTAAATATCCATTAAAGGACATGGTTATGTGAACAAAATTGGTTTCCCACATTCTTTAATTGACCTTACATGATAAATAAGTACACAGTCCATTCTATAACTCATTACTCATTTTTCTTAGTTATCTCTGTTTGCTGTAAAACTCTCCTTGTTCCAGGATTAAATTTTTTTAATCATTATACATGAATTCAGTACTTAGATTACTTTTTTCTGATTTTGATAATTTAAAAGAGATAATCCCAGGTTTGTCCTTTTATCTTGATTGGTGTCTCATCCCTTCACTTTTTCAATGATCCTTTTTCTGGTCACTCATTCTAGTTGACTACATTCTACAGTTTGGTTGTACTCTTGAGATTTTCTTTCTCTTTTTTATCTTACGTATTTTCAACTTCACTATTTTTATTAATTTCTTTCCATTATCACTTAAACATATTCAGGTCTTTCCTATTTATGAATAAAAAAACTGAGCCCTGGGCATTGGTGACTCTTACCTGTAATCCTAGCTAATTTGAGAGGCTGAGATGGAACCAGAGCAGAGTTCCAACCCCAGTGCCACCAAAAAAAAAAAAAAGGTAAAATTACCAGAGCAAAATGGACTGGAGGTGTGGCTTAGGCAGGAATGTGCCTGCTTTGCAAGCATGAAGCCCAGTCATGCTCTCCTACCCCCACCCCAAATAATAATAATTTCACTATCTACCTCCTGTCACTCACTATCCTTCTATTTCTAGTCATGCTTTTATGCTACTGTATTGATTAGGTGTCTGCAGTGTGCTAGGCACTGTTCTAGTTACTGGCAATGCATCAGGGAACAAAACTTCTTGAGGCAGGTGGCAGGACTTCAGTTCCACTTGTTCCTCATCCTACTATTACCTGGCATTCTCATCTCTTCCCACCTTGTCTGAAACATCCTTCTTGTTTGCTATATCCACCGGTTCCTTCTTAGTTAATTCATCTGACTTCTCGAAAGCAATTGTTTTAAAAAGGATCCTTGTTGGATTTCCATGATACCAGACTTGCCTACAACATTTCCTGCCTCTGATTATTCCTTTTCATTTGTCTTTGCAGGATGTACTTCCTCCTCATCAGTTCCTGTCCTAGGCCTGTTTCTCTGTTTGGGAAATCATATTTGCTAAGAAACAATTAGTTTCTTGGTTTTTTTTTTTTTTTTTTTTCATTTTTCTTTTATTATTCATATGTGCATACAAGGCTTGGTTCATTTCTCCCCCTGCCCCACCCCTCCCTTACCACCCACTCCACCCCCTCCCGCTCCCCCCCTCAATACCCAGCAGAAACTATTTTGCCCTTATCTCTAATTTTGTTGTAGAGAGAGTATAAGCAATAATAGGAAGGAACAAGGGGTTTTGCTGGTTGAGATAAGGATAGCTATACAGGGCATTGACTCACATTGATTTCCTGTGCATGGGTGTTACCTTCTAGGTTAATTCTTTTTAATCTAACCTTTTCTCTAGTTCCTGGTCCCCTTTTCCTATTGGCCTCAGTTGCTTTAAGGTATCTGCTTTAGTTTCTCTGCATTAAGGGCAACAAATGCTAGCTAGTTTTTTAGGTGTCTTACCTATCCTCACCCCTCCCTTGTGTGCTCTCGCTTTTATCATGTGCTCATAGTCCAATCCCCTTGTTGTGTTTGCCCTTGATCTAATGTCCACATATGAGGGAGAACATACGATTTTTGGTCTTTTGGCCAGGCTAACCTCACTCAGAATGATGTTCTCCAATTCCATCCATTTACCAGCGAATGATAACATTTCGTTCTTCTTCATGGCTGCATAAAATTCCATTGTGTATAGATACCACATTTTCTTAATCCATTCGTCAGTGCTGGGGCATCTTGGCTGTTTCCATAACTTGGCTATTGTGAATAGTGCCGCAATAAACATGGGTGTGCAGGTGCCTCTGGAGTAACAGTCTTTTGGGTATATCCCCAAGAGTGGTATTGCTGGATCAAATGGTAGATCGATGTCCAGCTTTTTAAGTAGCCTCCAAATTTTTTTCCAGAGTGGTTGTACTAGTCTACATTCCCACCAACAGTGTAAGAGGGTTCCTTTTTCCCCGCATCCTCGCCAACACCTGTTGTTGGTGGTGTTGCTGATGATGGCTATTCTAACAGGGGTGAGGTGGAATCTTAGTGTGGTTTTAATTTGCATTTCCTTTATTGCTAGAGATGGTGAGCATTTTTTCAT